CGGCAGCACTCATGCAGCCCCAGACCATGACACTCCCACCACCATGCTTGACTGTAGGCACAACACACTTGTCTTTGTACTCCTCACCTGGTTGCCGCCACACATGCTTGACAACATCTGAACCAAATAAGTTTACCTTGGTCTCACTGGACCACAGGACATGGTTCCAGAAATCCATGCCCTTAGTCTGCTTGTCTGCAGCAAACTGTGTGCAGACTTTCTTGTGCATCATCTTTAGAAGAGGGTTCCTTCTGGAACGACAGCCCTGGAGACCAATTTGATGCAGTGTGCTACATATGGTCTGACCACTCAGAGGCTGACCCCCCCACCCCTTCAACCTCTGCAGCAATGCTGGCAGCACTCAGACGTCTCTTTCCCAAAGCCAACCTCTGGATACGACGCTGAGCACGGGCATCCATGGTCGACCATGGCAAGGCCTGTTTTGAGTGGAACCTGTCCTGTTAAACTGCTGTATGGTCTTGGCAGCTCAGTTTCAGGGTTTTGGCAATTTTCTTATAACCTAGGCCATCTTTATGTAGAACAAAAATTCATTTTTTCTGATCCTCAGATAGATCATTACCATGAGGTGCCATGTGGAACTTCCAGTGACCAGTCTGAAAGACTGAGAGCAATAACACCTGCTCCCCCTTCACACCTGAGACTTGTGACACTAACAGGTCTCATGACACCAGGGAAGGAAAACAGCTACTTGGGCCCAATTTGGACATTGAGGTGTACTCAGTTTTCTTGCCAGCAGTTTAGACAGTAATGGCTGTGTGTTACATTATTTTGAGGGGACGGCACATTTGCACTGTTATACAAGCTGTATATTCACTGCTTTATATTGTAGCCAAGTGTCATTTCTTCAATGTTGTCAAATGAAAAGATATACTAAAATAACGTATTTTTCGCACCATAAGACACACTTTTTTCCCACAAAAGAGGGGGGGTGGAAAGTCTGTGCGTCTTATGGAGCGAAGAAAACAGATTATATTTTCCTGTTTTCTTCTCCTAAAAAATTGGTGCGTCTTTTGGAAAGGTGTGTCTTATGGAGCGAAAAATACAGTATTTATGAAATTTGAGGGGGTGTACTCACTTCTGCGAAATACTGTATAGTATATATGGAATTAAGACCTGTTGCCCTAAAGTATGCATTTATTTGCACTTAGTATATTTGCTATTTTGCTGTCCACTCACCCAATGTGAAAAGATTCTCTTATACCCTGCTTTGGTCTTGAATAATTTGGAATTATCTGCAACTTTGGGCACCCTAAATCTGAAACAGTGGATTCCCCCATTGTGAAAACTGGTTCTTTCAACCCTTTGCTTTGTATTGTTTAACCAGTTATCACTTCAGAGAGTTACTGATCCATTTTTTGGTTTTTTTGTTTTAAAAAAGCTAAACTAACTTAGGGGCCTTTGTTTGAGGGTCTTTGTCAGAAACCTTTTGAAAGTCCAAGTTTATATTGTTTATCATATTACTCCTATTTATATGCTGGTTATCAGCCATAGAAATCTAAAAAGTTAGTAAGGCAGGGCTTCTTTTGGCAGATGCCATGCTGTGAGCTACACTGCCCACGGGACAGTCTTCTTTGTTCTTTTTGTAGCATGTATGTCCTGGGATAACCCTGTGCCACAAATCCTCTCCATTATGGCAGGTTTCTGTTACACCCATTCTACCTACATTCTCGTTTAGCAGAAAGAGCCCAGTTCTTCCTGGTTTAGCATGTAAACACCTATGCATTATGATTATTTGTAAATATTTGTGGGGTATATATTTTTCCATGTAGCTTATTAATTGTTTTAACAATGTTATACTGAATGTATATACAATGTTATACATATTATACAGAATTCTTAGTGCCAAGATCTATTGCATCCTGTTTGGATAAATTAGAAAACACACACCTTAACTGTATTTGCGAAGGCTTTCACGGCCGGGATCTAATTATTGTTGCGGGTTTTTCAGGCTCTTTGGCCGTGTTCTGAAGAACAACCTTCAGAACACAGCCAAAAAACCCGAAAAACCCACAGCATCCATTACACACCTTAACTCCTAAATACTATTGGTCCCAAACCAAGTGTTCACCAAGTTCATATTACCTTTTCCTCAGAGCTCAGTTTCAGAGCTGCTTCCTGAACTTTTTTTTTTCATATTAAGCACCAAGATTGATTCTATTTTGCTTCAAGCAGAATATGTCTCCTCTGTGCAATGTTGTTTCTAAATCTCTTTTGATGTGCAAGAAATGTAAGCCCCTTCTTTCAGCACCACACAACTGAAAAATGCTCATGTGTATGGAGCAAGCAATATGTCTTGGAAGGTTTCCATGAAGATCTTTGACTTCCTCACCCAGCAAGCTTTTTTTGTTTACTTCCAGGACCACAGGTTTGCATGAATATGGGCATGAACCATGACCACTGGCTCTTCCCAGGTAGTCACATACCACCCTATCTAGAGAGTATGTGAGTCTCTAGATAGTCTCTCACTAGACAGGAAGATCACCATGTGGTAAACATCTCCATATTTCACTGTATTCCTAATGATCAAATCACCTCCTACAAGGAGACCCCCCCAATGATATTGTACATGGAATAGCATCCTTGTAAAGGATCATTGTCTTTTCCCTCAGAAAGTTGGCTCCCATTCCAAAGACTTTACATGCTCCCACACAATATGTAGTGGTTGAAGTTCTGATGTTCATACACTGATCCTTGGTTTGAGAATAGAAATGTTTACAGATACACTCTGTAGTTTTATATAATTAAAACCTGCTTCTAAAGAACTCCTTCAGAAGATTATTTGGACTTTCAGTTTCCTTGTTTTTTTCATCTTTCAGAATGAGGTCAGTCATGTGGATTACTGTTCAGCATGCAAGCAGGGTGCCAACTTGCAACCCTGTGGAACATGCCCAAGAGCCTATCACCTCAACTGCTTGGACCCTCCCTTAAAGACTACCCCTAAAGGAGTCTGGGTATGCCCCAAGTGCCAAGACAAGGTGAGTGAACATATCCCATAACTATGTCAAAAAGATCTCGAGCTAGGGACTGTGTCATATACAGATGAACATTTTGTTAGGTTTATAAAAATTATTGTGTTATCCATCTTTTCTGCAGCAGTAGCATCACCTTTCATCACACACCATCAGGGTCCTTCTTCTCCTGCAGTGTTCCAGTACAGGCAGGAACTCAGGCTGCCTTTCCCTGCCTCCTCTGGTAGCCAACCACTCATCAGCTGCACAGGGAGAATCCCTGACCCACCTCCTTGTCAGAATGGCCAGGTGCCAGAGGAGGTGGAGATGGACAGCCCGAGTTCCTGCCTGGATTACAGCACTGCCAGAGAAGAAGGACCTTGATGGTGTGTGATGAAATGTGAGTGGGCCAGCTGGCCCAGGGGGTGGAGAGATGGTCTGGTGGCATCTATGGTGCCGCGTAGTGTACTTCGTCGGAAGCCATTTGAATTAATTTGGAGCCATCTCTAATCGTCATTATCATAATCATCATTCATATAATTCCTCAGCACATTTTCACACAGTTTATTAATGAAAAGTTCAGTTTCTCAAAGGTTGATCTGAAACAAACCAATCCTGGCTGCTAACAAGGACCATTAATGGCCTGCTTCTCAGAACAGTTGGTAGTAAGAAGGAGACCAGAAAAATATTTTATAAACTAAAAGGACCAAATCCATGTCAAAGTGAGATGGCCGTGTGGGGCTTTATGAGGAACAGTAATTATAGTAATAGTAATAATAGCTCTCTTTCTAAGAAGGCTTTTCCTTTAAAAAAAAGACTGTAGTCAGCCTCAGAATGGCTGTAAAAACAGTATATGATATGTCTTCTAATATTTGTGTATCCTTGAATTATTCATGTGTTATTCCTTGAATTCTGTAGGTGTTAAAGAAAGAAGAAAACATGCCATGGGCTGGAACTCTGGCTATTGTTCAATCCTATGTTACTCATAAAACAGGTATGCATTGGAATTCCTGAATTTCAAGAGAGTTTATTCTTCTCACATTGTCTTTATTGTCTAAATTAGAACCCACATGCCCAGAAATAGTCAAATCGTTTTCTCTCCATATTTGGCATTGGAGGCAAATTCCATTTTTCATTTGCCACTATAATGTTTCTATTTTAAAAGAGAGAGAGAGAGAGAGAGAGAGAGAGAATGACCAGGTGGGTTGGAGGAACTTTCTTTGCTTTTTGTTCTCATATGTGTTTTCTCATTTTAAATGGGAAGCAAGAATAGCAGTGTGTCTTTTCTCACGTCAAATAATGGCAGAAATCCTGTTGCATAGTGTATTAAGTCACACTAGAGTAGGCCAACTGAATCAGTGGCCATTTGGTGAGTCAGCTCCACCACCAGTTTCACTGAATCAAATTAACTTACTCTAGTTATGAATTAATACGGCAAAGTAAGTCACAAGCCACTTTCAATCAATGGAAATTACAAAGGAATTGACTCCCTAAACCCCCAGTGATTCAGGGGGCCTACTCTGATATGACTTATGCTATACAACAGGGTTTCAGCCATGGTTTTCTATTTAGGAAAGAGTACATCCTTTGTGATCTAAGACTTCCCTCTATCTCTGACCTGGAGTGGTGGCAGCTGATTTAGGCTCCTTCCCAGCGATGCACCCCAAAGTACTTTCTCTTGTATTACTCAGTGCACCATTCAATTGTATGAGAAACTATTTCTCTATTGAGGAATTCAGTAAAAGGGTTAATTCTAATCTGTGGGTTTAGCCTCACCTCCTTCCATCCTAGCTCTTATGTGTGAAGAACTAAATCCCGCTAGATGGTGGTCTCTATCCATGAAACATCTTCACAAAATTTGCAGTACTGCTCCTTCACACTTTTCTAAACACATGGAGAATCCTCATAGGCAGAGATGGCTTTCTTCTGATTTTTCAAGCATGTGGACAAAAGAGACTTGGCTACCCTGATCCCTCTGCTCACAGGTTATCATTGAACTCCTGAATAGTGCTGAGGTAGGTTACAGATCATGAATATGAGGAGAGAAGATGCTTTCCAGAGGGGCGGGGTAGAAATCGAATAAATAAAAAAATAAAATAAAAATAATAAGAACCTGTCTTTCCACCCCTGATGTTACTAGCCAGTGGGAACTTGACCTGGCTGAGGAAGATCATGGTGGAGTGTGGATGCTCCGAAAACATGGAAACACACGAGCCCATTGCAATATACATCCCCCCTGTCCCACGATGGATATTTTATTATGTTCTAATAAATCCCTTCCTCAACTTCCTTTAAACTGAATTGTTAGTATTGTTATTGTATTTTTTCATTCAGCAATAATACTAAATGTGTCTTTATTAGATGGGATGAAAAAAAAGCTGAATAAGGGGAAAGGACACTACCAATATATTGCTTGCCTCTTGGGCACCATTTTTCACTTCGTCATTTGTCACCTGATATGTTGTCTTTGCTTCATAGTCAAAGAAGAGGAGAAGAGAAAGTTGTTAAAGAGAAGCAGTGAATTAAGGGGAGAATACAGGCAGCTTGAAGAAAAAGAACGCCTTCTCAATAACACAATGAAGGTATAGCTCCCGGCTGGTGTGTTATTCTACAAAAGTGGTTAGCTCCAGATAGCGTTTGAAATCAAAAGCAATTCATATCTTAACATATTACACATAAATAAATCTGAATATATACCAACATTCCAGAAAAAAATATGAATTCAGAGGGGAACAAGAGGCTCTGTTGCTGAAACCTTTGCAATCCAGCACAGTTAATTGTCCTTTAGCCCATTTACTATGTTAGATAGTGGGCAATCCTCCTAATTCTGACCACAATAGCAAATTATCACTGTAAAAATAGTTTCCTTTTCCTTTTGTCAGGAAATGAGATACAAGAGACTAAACTTTGCTTAGACAGAGCTCAGAAAATGCTGAGGGAGGCTGAAGGCCAGACCAGCACAGTGTCAGGAAAGTATCAAGGGTTGCTTTACAGTTGCGTTACGGTGTGACCGTAGGGGGAAATAGCTTGGAGTCAGAACTGCTTGTGGAGTGGTCTGGTGCAACCTGTTTCCCAGGCTATCACATAAATGTACAGGGAAATGTGTTCCAGCCTCACCCTGATCCATGCCCAAGATGGACATTTTTGGTTGAGCTTTAGGGCTTTCTACCTTTTGGCAGCAGGCTGGAGTGATTCACAAGCAGATGGAAGGATAGTTCTAAGGATGATTGCTCCCATTAAAGCAACCAATTCTGATGTGATCAGGCCAGTGCCTCTGCAGGTGACTGATTGCACCCTTACTGACAGATGATATTTTTGCACCCTGGCTGGCGTCATGGAAACAGTCTTTTCAATCAGATTGTAATATATATCCCAACTCTTCTGAGAGTGATTCTTGTCTTTTCTTCTTTCTGTCCTAAGTGCTCTCTCTGTATTGCTCCCAGTGGCCACTGGGACTTTATGTAACTACCTAATTAGCACATGGTATGTTTCAGTCTTTGGTGGATTATGCTTCTACACTGCAGATGAGAGAATTATATGTTTGAATGTTCCCCACATAGAAAATCTAATTGTGATGAGGAGCTGGTCGTATACGTATAGCCTGGGGTTCAACACAGATTTTGCAAGGCATTTTGAGAGCTAAGCTTACTTGATTAAAGCAAAGGAATTTGCAAATCACTTTACAAAATAGCTTTGGTGTTGTGGGTTTTGCTAAGTATTAATTATCAAAGGTATTGCTTACTAAACTGCTACATTTCCAACAATGGCAAAGCAGGTCAGCTATTGAATGAAACAGCTCCTCCCCACCCCCACCCCTCCAATTTGGGATTATTCTTTTCTGGTGAAAAAGACAAAAGTGTTCCTGTCAGGAAGGAGGGGCATCATCAGTATTTCATTATATTGTGGGGGGGGAAATGGAGAAATCGTGTCTTACTAGATGGCAACCCAGTGGAATGTGTTTTCTATTTGTTGGTATTTAGTGTAGCAAGTTTCCTTCAAATACACAGACTCACTAAGGAAATTATACATATTCGAGACTCACTAATGAAACTATATACATATATAAGGCTGTGGAAATACAGCCTGAAGAATCAGTCAGCTGAAACTGAACATTATATCTTCATGCAGCTCCATCAGTGGAAGTAACATGCCCATATATGTTACGTTACGTTACGTTAGGCAGCTAATATAATTAGAGAATTTGGATGATGTAGGCTTCATTGTTCAAATGCAAGCTTTGGCTGGTGACTGTAGAAACACAATTCAACATAAAGATTTAAACTGATGAAAGCAATCAAAATATGCTATTAAATGGCTTGAGGTTTTATTTAAATTAAAATAAGAGCAATTGAGATACTTTGTTGTTGTTGTTCTTTAGTCATTAAGTCATGTCTGACTCTTTGTGACCCCATGGACCAGAGCACGCCAGGCCCTCCTGTCTTCCACTGCCTCTCAGAGTTTGGTCAAATTCATGTTGATAGCTTCGATGATATTGTTCATCCATCTCATCCTCTCTCATCCCCTTCTCCTCTTGCCTTCAAACTTTCCCAACATCAGGGTCTTTTCCAGGGAGCCTTCTCTTCTCATGAGATGGCCAAAGTATTGGAGCCTCAGCTTCAGGATCTGTCCTTCCAGTGAGCACTCAGGCTTGATTTCCTTCAAAATGGATAGGTTTATTCTCCTTGCAGTCCAGGGGACCTTCAAGAGTCTCCTCCAGCACCACAATTCAAAAGCATCAATTCTTCAGCAGTCAGCCTTCTTTATGGTTGTCATGAGTTCAGCCGAAGATCCAGAACCTGAGGGGTTAACTGTAGCTGAGGAGAATGCTGAGCGATTAGAAACACAAACAGCTGAATCCCCCCCAGATTCTCCTCCACCAGTAGACAGGGTGAGGGCCAGGCTTCGGCAAAGACTTATGACTGAAAGCTGCCCACAGAAACATCCGGTCAACCAGCCCTGAGTTCTGACAGGATGAAAAGGCTTCCTGCACTTCAATGACTGTTTTTACTATATAAGCAGCTCCCAGATGGCTGGAAGTTCGTGGAAGCAACAAGTCAAACCTCTGGCTGTCATCCATGCTCCTGACTACCTTGAACCTTGTTCTTTGGACCCTTGGCTTTGGACTATGACCCTGGACTACATTGTGTAATTTGGCTTTGGTATTTGGATATCGGCTCTGCATTCTCTGAACTTCTGACATTGGACTGGCTTATCAGACTCTGCTGTTGTAACCCCTGGGAATGTGACAATGGTCCAGCTCTCACTTCCATACATCACTACTGGAAAAACCATAGCTTTGACTATGCAGACCTTTGTCGGCAAGGTGATGTCTCTGCTTTTTAAGATGCTGTCTAGTTTTGTCATCACTTTCCTCCCAAGAAGCAGACGTCTTTTAATTTCATGGCTGCTGTCACCATCCGCAGTGATCTTGGAGCCCAAGAAAGTAAAATCTGTCACTGCCTCCTTATCTTCCCCTTCTATTTGCCAGGAGGTGATGGGACCAGTGGCCATGATCTTAGTTTTTTTGATGTTGAGCTCCAGACCATTTTTTCGCGCTCTCCTCTTTCACCCTCATTAAGAGGTTCCTTAATTCCTCCTCACTTTCTGCCACCAGAATGGTATCATCTGCATATCGGAGGTTGTTGATATTTCTTCCGGCGATCTTAATTCCAGCTTGGGATTCATCCAGTCCTGCATTTCACATGATGTATTCTGCATATAAGTTAAATAAGCAGATAGATAATATACAACCTTGTACACCTTTCCTAATTTTGAACTTCGAATCCAGCTTGTACTTCTGGGAGTTCTCGGTCCACATACTGCTGAAGCCTGCCTTGTCGGATTTTGAGCATAACCTTGCTAGCGTGTGAAATGAGTGCAATTGTATGGGCATTGGAGCATTCTTTAGCACTGCCCTTCATTGCGATTGGGATGTAGACTGATCTTTTCCAATCCTCTGGCCACTGCTGAGTTTTCCAAACTTGCTGGCATATTGAGTGTAGCACCTTAACAGCATCATCTTTTAAGATTTTAATAGCGTGTGAAATGAGTGCAATTGTATGGGCATTGGAGCATTCTTTAGCACTGCCCTTCATTGCGATTGGGATGTAGACTGATCTTTTCCAATCCTCTGGCCACTGCTGAGTTTTCCAAACTTGCTGGCATATTGAGTGTAGCACCTTAACAGCATCATCTTTTAAGATTTTAAATAGTTCACCTGGAATGCCATCACCTCCACTGGCCTTGTTGTTAGCCATGCTTTCTAAGGCCCACTTGACTTCACTCTTTAGGATGTCTGGCTCAAGGTCAGCAACCACACTATTTGGGTTGTCTGGGACATCCAGCTCTTTCTGGTATAATTCCTCTGTGTATTCTTGCCACCTCTTTTTGATGTCTTCTGCTTCTGTTAGGTCCCTCAGATTTTTGTCCTTTACCATGTCCATCTGCGCAAAATGTTCCTTTAATATCTCCAGTTTTCTTGAACAGATCTCTGGTATTTTCCCTTTCTCTTATTTTCCTCTATATCTCTGCACTGTTCATTTAAGAAGGCCCTCTTGCCTCTCCTTGCTAGTCTTTGGAAGTCTGCATTCAATTTTCTGTTACTTTCCCTTTCTTCCTTGCATTTCCCCCCCTTCTCTTCTCTGTTATTTGTAAGGCCTCGTTGGACAGCCACTTTGCTTTCTTGCATTTCCTTTTCTTTGAGAGAAACTAGATACAGTAAAATGGAGAATTAAATTAAAAGGAAATTGAGTTAAGTGGAACACATAGAGACTGATGGGGGCACTGTGCCCTGCAATTTGAAATACAAAATATTACAACACAAACTGTTAATATTGAACTACAAAATGGAAGTTCTTCATAGAAGATTTTGGGAGGTTATGACTTGGTTTTTTGTATTTGTATAAAAGGATGTGCTTTGTTTTTATATTTAAGATGAGAAGGAAAACTTATTTTGACAAATTTAATTGATGTTTATTTCTTTGATTGATTGAATTCACCCATATTTCAACAACTTCATTAATGCATATGTGGTTTTCTTGTTAAAGCTCTGTTAGCTTCTGCAAGCTTTATAATCTTGTGTTTGCAGCAAAAGAAACCATTCCATTACCTATTATATTAATGTGTTACACTGAGACACAAAAGGCATAACATCAATGAAAATATTGCCTGTTTTATACAGCTGCTTTCTCACACACACAGGCATAGGGACAGTAAAGGGAGGAGGGGTGTTGAAGAAGCAGCTACTGTATCATGTCATGATGGTTAAAATGTTGGCTAAGGCAACTTTGTTCAAACAAATAAGTTCTACAGATAAGTTGTGTTTTGGGGGTTGTTTCCATGCATAGCATATCCTAAAAGGACTGAAAAAAAACTGAGACCTCTTCACCCCTACCATCTGGACAGACATGGGCCAGGAGAATACACCTTTCTCCTGTCTACTAAATTAGCCCTGTGCACGTACAGATTTTGTGTCTTTTGGCTCTGTGCATACGGTAAGAATCCTGCAACAAGCAAGATTCTCAAAAGATTTTCTAGACATTGTACACATGTTTTGTTCTGATGGGGGTGGATCAGCTTCTGCACCCGTTGGGCCTACAGAGACAAAGTGAAGATATACCTTAGGGTGGTCCAGCGTTGCCTTATTATGTGTGGTGCAAATGCATATGTAATCTGCCCCAACCAATACATATTGTATGCCCTGGGAGGTACATTACAGTTTACGTAATACCATTGGAAAGGTAATGGGCTCATTTTAGGTACACATAACCAACACCAAGTTCCCTCCTCTTCCACATGTCATAGCACAACCCACTTTTGAAAGTTCTTTCATTTTCAAAAGCGGCTTGACATCAAGAATTGGGAAGGGGGTAGAAACAATATCTTTTAAGAAAAACCCTTGGATGTGTAGAATTACTTGTGCCTTTTCTAGGATTCCAGCCAAGGATAAATGAATGAAATCAAACCCCTTTGTATATTGTACACTGATTTAGATTAGAGAGTGGTTTTGACTAGAAACCCTGCTTCAGTCTACATAAGCATCCTTTCAAGCTGGAACAGGGAGGATAGAACGGCCTGTAAGCTGTACAATTTAACCACCCTGATAGTGATTCCGACAGGATGCTTAAAGGGTGTTGTGGCGAAACTAATTTAGTTGAACATGCACCAAAAAAACTGTTTGTAATACAAGTGTTTTGACACCAGCACCTACCACTTGCATTCTTACTTCTTCTTTCCATCTCTTTACTTGACAGAAGTGCTTAGAGCTAAAAAACAGCTTATTGGCCCAACAGAAAGGGGTTCAGTCATCGCTGGAACGCCTCAAAACTCTCATTAGACTGATACAGAATGAGCAGATGATTCAGGTTACCATGACAACCACCACCACCTCCTCCCTGCTAACTGTCCCCTGGATCAAACCATCTTCTGCCTCAGCTGCTGCTGTACACAAAGCCTTGCAGCCAACACAGGGTAACAACTGACAGAAGCTGCCTGGAAAAAAATTGTTTTTCTTTAAAAAGAAAAAAGAAAACAAAAATGAACACTTAATACATGCAGAACCACATATAGAATACAGATGGAAATACTGCAACTGCATCCAGAAGGACAATGGGGAAAAGACTGTGTTGGTCCTTTCATAATTATATGAGGATGTTTGGGAAAAAACCATCCGGTCCATTTTGTAGCTCAGTGTCATAGCTACTTTCCAGATGTTTGGCTGCAGTTTTCCATTGCTGAGATCTTCAGTGCTTAGGATATTCTTTTTTCCTTTTCCTTTTTTTATTGTGTTGGCCTTAATGTATTTAATGAATGAGAAAAATGAAGCAGCATATGTTGGCCAGTGGGATTGTGGTGGAACAGCGTATCCTTGTTGGAGGGCAGATGGTTTTAAAACGTTCTCCTTTGGAAGGAAAAAATAGTTTTAAATACAAAGAATTAGTAAGCTAGTATGCAGGGTAGCTGGTAGAAGGAGAGCTGAAATGGAAATTGGTGACATTAAAAAATCAAAAGTAAATAGCTTGGAACTCAGCACGGGTTTCCGATTTTTTAAAAAATGAACACTGTTGGCATTGATTCAGGTTGAACTGAATACGGGGCTGTTGGAGAAGAATGACATTTGTGAGACACTCACAGAGCCTTCAAAATCAATTTTTTTCAGTATTATAGTTGAGAATTGCAGATATTTAAATAAAAATGTATGAAATTAGCATTTCTAGTGAAATATTGAAGTATTTTCATGCTGATGCTTCTGTATATGCATTCTAAAGTATTTAAAGAGGTATGCCTGTAAAACCCCTTAATTTTTGCAGGTCTTTTCAAGTTATTTTGCTATTGATGTATTTTTCTCATGGAGTTTTTTTGTGCAAGGATTAACATAAACCATAACAGTGACAGTTATCTTCAGCAGGTTGGATCTTTATTGTTTTTGAGGGGGTAGATTTTTTTTAAAGAAAGAAAGCAAATAATATTTGTTGCTGTTTTTTTTCCTGTCAAGACAGTACAAATGAAATGCCAAAAATTTACATTTTTGTACTGCATTTTTATTGTAAAGTAAGGAATATGAAAATTTGTTTCTTTCTTTCTTTTCCTTTCTTTTCCTTGCAGAATTATCTGCTATGTAGTACAGGAAATAAACTGCCTCAACTTTTTTTAAAAATTATTGGATAAATCAGGAGTTTTGAGGGAAAGATGGGCTGGCAAATTCTGAGTTAGTTAGTTCAAAAATGCAGCACTTAATTTTGTTCAGTTTAACCAAACATGAAACATTTAGCATTATTAGCCTTAGAAAATGCTAGGAAACCTGTTTTATTTCATTTTTTTTCTGTAGCTAGTCTTCCTGATGCAACAACAGTCACTCTGACCCGGTCATAGGCAAGAAGCCTATGCTAAAACCCTGAGGCCTACCTCAGAAGTTAGTGATGGGCAAAAGAGTTTCTATTCAGGATTGCTTTGCCATTCTCTGATTCTGTTTTCTTCCCTGGTACAAGAAGAACACCATCAAGAAGAAGCACCATTTAAAATTACAGGGGTTGGAGAAGAGGTTTAACACAAGATTTAAAGATTTGGTCTTAGATCTAGTAAAAATTGAGAGTGCAGGCCTATATGTGTCTACAGAAAAGTAAGTACTCTCCTTACTACCAGGTAAGTGTGTGTAGGGTCACAAATTATTTTAACAGTATTTGTTCAGCCTAATTCTTTAGTAGTTTACAAGTATATCAGCTTTAGCCACACTAACATGTTTTGTTGCTTTAAGCAAAGGGATTTGTGCCTTTGGCATGCATAACTAAAACACAGACCCATTTAATTCTTTAATTCAGCCTGTTAAACCATTAAATTAGCCAGAAACAGAAGTGCTCCTGAGAAGTAATCATGCATGATGAAAAGGCAAGGAAGGGCAAGGAGTATAAGATAACCCTTATTTCTCTCCCTAAATGACACTCCTGTATTTACATGGGTCAAAACCAAGAACCTATTTCTATATGCCACATTAGTCTATCACATGGTGCCGAAACATCAAAGGCTTTGACCTTTTGATTGACTGCGAGTTGCCCATCACTAGGCAGCACATAATCCTTTGAACCATTTTCACAACTCCGGGAGAAACTGTGCAGTACTATACAAATCTATTTTAATACACTTAACACTCTGTTGAACAAGATTTTTATATTCTTTTATCAATGAACAAAAGTGAACTAAGTAAAATACAGTTGTGATACATTGGTTATTGTACGCCAATTTATGCATTCAAATGTGGCTTGCAATGTAAATGTTTTCAGGTTTAATGGTTCTTTTTCTCCTCAAATGGGTTTAAAAAGGAAAGGGAAAAGCACAGAAAGCTAGTTTAATATTAAAGCTTTCTGAAGAGGTGTTTTTCTGGGACTGGTAAAAAGTAGTTATTTTCGGAAAAGAGACTGTCCCGTGGATAGTGTGCATAGAAATCAAAGTGTTTGTCTTAAATATACCAATGTAGTTTACTTCTTTATGATGAATTAAACTTGATTGACAGATTTAAAATTGGTGTGATCACTATATGTAATATTTCCAGACATAATCCAGCTAACAAGCAACTATTTTCTTCTGCCTCTTGTAGCTCCTGCCTCATGCCTCTTTTCTTCTTCTTTGTGTTGAAAAAGACCAACCCCTCAAATATACTAGTTTTCATGGAGCTGCAGTCCAACAGTACAAATGTTCTCCCTTGCGCTTTGTGCTCAGTCTTCCAACATCAATCCAAAGTATGGTCAAATATGTTCCAATCTTCAGTGTAAAATTAGTCCTTGCCGAGGAATTTTAGTTATTCCTCTTAGTTAGCAGAGTATGAGGTAATAAAAACAACACAAAGAAGACTTAGAAAGCTCAATATAATCTCAGCCCCTCCCCCCCCCTTTGGTTTCTTTTACATAAAAACTAGCAGTTTGGATGATAAAATAACCCTAGAAGCATTTAAGGTAGAAAAAAAGTATCTTTACTTATCGTTATCATTTGTATTTACAGTCAGAAGGATTAAAAGGGGGAGAACTGAGTCTTCAGCACATGGAAGCCCTCCATGCTTGTCAGAGAGAGAAGAAGCTATCAGTGATCCCCCGCCCCCAAACAAAAAACTGGAAGAGGAGGAAAAGGCTTGCCTGAAATGCCAGAGGCAGGAAAAGGATTTTACCAATCAAGTTAGTAGCAAAGACCAATCACAATAGGCTGTAATATTAGTATATGCAAGCTTGTGATTAACTCAACAGATAATACTGCAATTCTTTTTGTAGTTTATTAGGCTACTAGCAGTATTCTGATACTGCGGATGGGGTGGGAGGGCAGGATTAGGATCACATAGGCTTTCTTAAGACCAGTCAATTATTTCATGGATAAACTGTACCTTCTAATGAAGAACTGCAACTGTTGGTGTGGAACACTGAATTCTGTGCCATATCCAAAGTAGATAGGAAAGGATAGTTGGCTGGAACAAATGTTAATGTGTTGAGATGGAAGATCTAAATCAGCTGTTTCATGCTTGATTTATTACCATCAAGAGTTTGTCCACAATAGCCCTCTGCTTAAAACAACTGGATTCAGCTGTCAAAGTGTCTACAGCAGCGGTCCCCAACCTTTTTAACCCTGTGGGGACACTCTTGCATGGGTGCTCGTGTGCTCATGCATATGCACGAAGGAGCGGGAGGGTGCTCATGCGGGCGCTCGTGGGCATGCAGAAAGGGCACAGGCATGGTCAAGCAGGTGCAAAGGGGCTGTGCGGGGCGGGGGTGGAGGGGAAGGTCTGTCTCCGCAGCCTGGTTCGGCTCAGGCCACGGACTGGGTGTTGGGGACCTCTGGTCTACAGCATGTACTTGGGAGTCTCCTAAGCAACCTTTTGAAGTTATGGAATTAAATCACAAACTCAAACACAGTGGAATTAAAAGTGCATCCATTAAAGGCACATCAGTTCCATTCAAAGTTCTGATCACATTCCAATCAAAGGGTCAGACTTCATGATATCTATCAGGTGCTCCCTCAAGTGGTGAAAGGGATCTGTGTTATTTTCCATTTTGCACGTGCTGTGCTTGATCATAGGGAAGTAACCACAAGATTTCTTCAAGATTGATTGCTAAGGCAGAGCAGAAGGAAAACAGGTTTATCACACGGAATATGCACTTCTGCAAGAGTCTTTTTACGTGGAAGTCTGATTGTAGGAGGGAAAACAGGTTAATTATAGAGAATAGACATTCCCCTTAATGTTTGATTTGCCCTCTAAGAGGTGTATATTTTTATACTGCATCTAAAGTAGATCCATTGAAGTCAACGATGCTGAGTTATTGATGCTGAGTTAACTGAACTAGACTCAGGTCTGATTTTTAAAAAGATATACACCCAACTCTTTTCAACACTTTTTGAGTGTTTCCTTAAGGTTTTTCATTCTAATTGGGTCACAAGTTTACCTATGAAACATCAAGAACTGTAAACAGGAAAAATGAGTTTCTTTTTCTGAATTTAGTGGTCTTGTATTGTCATCTGTGTTATTTTTTATTATTATTCAATATTATTTCAAATGCTAATTTTGTGTGCTATTTTTAAAAAAAGTACGGCAGAAACACCATCTGGCTAAAGATAGGTTCTTCAAAATACTGTAAAGTTCATAGGGAGGAAAATTCCATAATAAATCATGTTTATTTCTCACTTTAAGAAGTACTTAATTTATGTAAATACCTGCTTGCTACACGCAACAGACATAGTTTTAGTGATTGGAACATGAGCCAAACCATCTCTCTGCCCACAATTTCTACATCCCATGCCACACATTTCCTTTAATTTCAGGCTTTTGTGACTGCATCAACACCCATCTTCTATATGTATGGCTTTCACTTAAGGAAAGAGGCCTTTTATAATCTTATGGCCACTTCTGTTACTTGTTTAGTCTCTCCAGTACAAGCCTAGATACAGATAAATAATTGTAAGTCAAGAATTTGATGTCATTGAAGCCTGTTTTTAAAACAGCATTAAGAAACCTCAAATTTCTTTGCTGTAGACAGGGCCCCACTGGTGTCTCAGTAATGAACATGGACCAAAGGGTGGTGCAGCCTTTAATCTTCTGCATTCTGCTTTTGGCTGAAATGCACTGACTAGACAATTACTGCTGTTACATATTTCTCTTCTAGCACTGTAGGACACATTATGTAATGTAAATAATAGTGCTCCAACTCTAAGATCAGTGAAAGAGAATTATAGCAAAGAAATGCATTATATCCTACTTTACCAAACTAACACAAGGAAAATGTTTGCTAAGTAAAAATAACAATTTAGCCCCCCACGTATAACAAAATATTACAGGGCCTATCACAAGTTTTGTAGTTGGTTGCCTAAAGGGGGAATATGAGAGTTGAACCAAAGTTAGCATGCAATGTAAAAGTTCCTGCTGTAACTTCTAATGTCATGTATAAAATGTATGCATTTCTTTGTTTTGTTCTTGAGCATTTAGTGCCATCTTCTACATATACACTCAGAAAAAAAAAATCCAGTGACTTCAGTAAGGCTTAAGATTGCATTATTGTAAGTGCAATCAGTGTTCTAGCAAGCCAGTGGGGTAGAAGGCTTTCATGTGCAAGTGAGCACTTGGTTTGGCATTGGTTGAGGCCTGAGGGTGCATTTGCTGCAAACGGATATGGTGGCGGTGGGGATTTTTGGTTAGGAATCCAAACCGGACTTGTTCTGACTGAAATACTAATAAGGGACCTCACTGCAAGGCTACTGGAAACTTCTCTCTCTCTCTCTCTCTCTCCAAGTTCTTATCTGCAAGAAGAGGATAACAATGAGTATAACGGTGAACTACATAGTTGTTGGCTTGTCTCTCAGCCCAGCATGAAATGTGGGGGTAAAGGCTATGGAGAACACTGTAGGGTTATGGTACCTGCTTCTGTCCTGTCCATAACCTGCTGTGGAAGAGGAGAATCTGGTATCCTACAGATCCCAAGGTGTTGATTGGTGGGAATCTTGTTCTCGTTACCTGGCAACACACATGCTGGATTGAAATAGTAGACAATGCACACATATCCCTTTGACTATATATTTCCTCATCCTCCCAGTCAATATGTGCACAGAAGCTTGTTCATAGCTGCTAGCTGGACTGGGATGGGGATGGAATGAAAAGCTGTAAAAGAGCATAAAACAAAGCAGCGATAGTCTTCCAGCACAAAACAAATTCCAAACTACATCCTGAAAAGATTTTTACACTCTCTTCATCAAGCAGTATGCTAAAATGAAGTTTGGGGAAGGGAAGTGGAAAGTTCATCTTAAGTCCTTTTTGTCTGCATGTTTTCCTCAGTATGGGGGTCGGAGTTTGTTTTGTGCCAATGTGGCTATCATTGCTTCTGTTTGTGACCTTTTAGATACCCAATTTAGTTGGATGACTTGGCTTCACAGAAGAAATTTGTACAACCAGAGACCGGACATCATTAAGCACAATATGCTGACACTTAGTTCTTTCTTCACGCATCCCTTCCCCATTACACTCTGAAACAACAGCCCTCCCTCTTCCACTTTGCTTTCACTCTGCTTACTGAAGATTTGTTTAAAAACTTCCTGTGTTCTGCAGACTGTTTACAAAGAGGGGAATTTTTTAAAAAAAATGAACAGCAACCAGCACATCAGATGAGATGACATTTGCTTTAATCTGCTTTTACCTGCCCCAGCTGTTCTTACCTGCAAAAAGAAGCCCAGGCTCCAGGGGAGACTGAAGTAAACAGAAACAACTAGATTGCTTCTGAAAGCTACTTTTAACTTAGCCGGGGTGAATATCATTAAACCCAGACTTGCTTACATTAAAATTGCCATGATGGAAAAGCACAACAAGACTTTGAAGACACATCGATATTCCAGCAGAAATTTTTAAAAATTGCTTGTGTTGGGCTTTTTGGCATGGAGAGGACTTTTTAAGAAACCTAGCAACAGTAGAACTACAGAGGGGCTTTGATCATCGGTATTCATCATCAAGATTTTACAGCTTGTGTTTTTGTTCACTTTTACCATTTCATCTATGTAATTTAGACAAAACTTTCATCTCTTTTTTCAGGCTTTGACACAGAGAGGGTTGAAATTAGTATATTGGTACTAGATAAGATAGTTTCATGCTGTTAGGTGTCCCCACTGCTGCAGTGCCAGCAATTTCACACCTGCTGTTTACTAACTTTCTGAATAAGATATAAATGATCACTAAAGAAGATACAAGGCTTCTTGATCTTCCTCTGATTATACAGTTTCTACTTAAAGCTTACATTGGTTGAAATCCTGTTGTCCTAGTATAGCACTATAAGTCAAACTACATTAAGCCCACTGAATTCGTGGGTATTGGGTGAGTCAACTCCTCTGCAGATTCCATTGATTCCAATAGGCTTGTGACTTGCTACACTAAAGTAAGTTGTAACGAAAGCAAGCCTATTTGAATCACTGGAACTTATGGAGAGGTTTACTCACCAAATCTCCACTGATTTAATGGGCCTATTCTAATGCACTTTACTAGGCAAAGGA